CACAAGCACCGGGGGCCTGAACCTGCGGTTCCTCCTGTACTGAGCAGGGTCACTATTGCAATGGCACATCGTCAGTAGGGGAAAACTAACCTATCTCACGACTGTCTAAGACGAGCTTTAGCTCAAAAGTAAAATAGTTGAACAGAATTTGTTCTGTTCTACCCCAAAGCAGGGCAGGTGGTCACAAAACCTGATCTTCTCTTACAGTGGGAGGAACTTAGCTGCACCCATCCCCATCTTGTGGTTCATCCACTTGGGAGGTGTGAGAAGAGAGGTTGCCAGTGAAGACTGAGGAAAAAAGTTGTTGAGTACCTCAGCCTTCTCCTTCTCTGTTGTTACCAGCTTGACAGTCATGTTCATTAGGACGAGTACACTGTCTTTGGCTTTCCTTTTCTGGCTGACTTACCTGTGGAAGCTCCTCTTATTGTTCTTTGCCATGTTCAGCAACTGCTGTGCCTTGGACTTGCTGACCCTGTGCCTACACATCCCAGCACTGTCCCTGTGCTCTTTCCAGGATACATGTGTGCTTCCACTGCCTGCGCAGTCCTGCTTGCCCTTTAGTTTGACCAGGAGGATTCTCCTGGATGTGGCATCCTGTTCCAGCCAGGATGACAGCCTGTGAGCTCGATGCCTTCCGTAACTGGAGAAAGAAGGCTTTGGTTACTACCTGTTGGCTGCCCTTGATCAGGCAGCCTGTAGTAGACACCAACCACAAGATTCACTTTGTAGCCTTGGACTCTGATTCTTACCCATAAGCTTTTGACCTGCTTGTGGACGTTCAGGGACAGCTCTTCCCACTCATCCTTTTCTTGACATAGAGGGCATTGCCTCCATGCCTCCCAACTCCCCCATCCTTTCTGAAGAGCCTGTAGCCATCAATAGCTGCACTCCAGTCATGGGGTATGTCCCACCAAGTTCCAGTAATGGCAAACAGGTAGAGGCTTTCTAGAAGCATGGTGACTTCCAACTCCTGTTTGTTGCCCATGCTGCATGCACATAGTCTCTTGCAGTGCTGATGGCCAATCTATTGGCAATTAAAGCATGCAAGAAGTTCAGCTAGTAGAATCTCACAAATGTAGCTGTTAATGGCTTTGTGAGCCCTGAGGAAATAATCTTTGTTTTCACTGATTGTCTCCTACCCTGTCAGCTGAGCTAGGAGTGCACCCATTGGAGTGCATTGTTCAGTCTAGATCCACCTCGTTCTGTGCTTGGGTTCTGCAGGAATCCGAGTTGGCTGTGTATAATTGGTTTAGACAAGAAGAAGGAGATACTTCTAGGATGCAGTTAATCTTTGTGTTTTAGAATTCTATATAGAATGGAGAATTGGCTGTTTTAAACATATGTTCCTACTCAATAACAGAGAAGTAGTTTGTAGGCTTAATATTAAAGCTTATTAAATATTTTACCTAATAGAAGGTAAAAGCCTTTTACAAGTAATAGTATTTTGCAGCATGAGAGACTTGTTTTTATTTGGATATTTTTAATATGGCATTTTTTAGTAAGGTTTTCATCTGTATGCTGTTTTAATAATTCTGTAGTATTGAATATGGAATTAAGCTTTGGAAAAATGGTAAACCTCTGTCTTTTATTGTTTATAGATAAAAATACAGGGGAACTTCTCTTGAAAAATGCCTCTAAAGACTATTCTGGTACATACAATTGTGTCGCCTCAAACAGAGTTGGCACGGATGAATGTTCTGTTGAGCTGAATGTCACGCCTCGTAAGTGTTTGCTGAGTAACTGTTTGGTCTCATAGTGTTTTGTGTATTAAAACCAAATGATCTTTTTCCTCTAAACTCCTAAAAGGTTAAAAAACCCAACCCTGTTGTGTAACTGAGGGTTGCTGCGTCAAGTATTCCCAAACCGCTGCTTTCTATGCAGAAAGTTGTAACTTTTATTATTGTTTTAAGTGCATGTAATTGAACCATACCCTCTGATTTTGTGATATACTGTTAATCTGGATTATGTGGAAACATACTGATTTTAATGTGAGGAGAGAAGAAGTTAGTCCTATATGTTTGACACTTACCAGTATTGTTATTTGTCTATTCTAGCTATAAATATAGCTGGTATAATTGCTGGAGCTATTATAGGAACTCTGCTGGGTCTTTCTGTTCTGGCTTTTCTCGTCTTCTGTTGCTGTAAGAAACATAGAGAGAAGAAATATGAGAAAGAAGTACATCATGATATCAGGTAATCACAGATCTCTGGTTTCTGAGCAGTATTATTTGAAGATTAACTTTTTAAATGTGTATTTCTGCAAGTAAGATACTTAACAGTTGAGATTTCTGTCTTAATCTGGAAAGCTTATTAACATACTAGCAGCTTGTCTGAGAACTTTTGGGTATGGTATAGGTTGTCGTGTCTAATTTCAGTAAATATTTTAAAGGCAGTTTATACTTGATTTGTTTTATTTTAACTTAAAGTAATAGGCGAATCTCTTTTCGCTACTGTGTCAGAATAGAAAGAAACAAACCGGAGATTTGTTTTGTTAGGTCCCAGGTAGTAGTGGTGACTGAACTGTTGTTCTGCAACTGTTTTTTTTTGTTTATTTCAGAGAGGATGTTCCACCTCCAAAAAGTCGCAGTTCGACAGCCCGCAGCTACATAGGCAGCAATCGTTCTTCCCTGGGTTCCATGTCTCCCTCAAACATGGAAGGATATACGAAAACTCCGTATAGCCAAGTCCCAAGTGAAGACTTTGAACGTACTCCCGGTCAAAACCCAACCTTTGCACCTTCAAAGGTAGCTGCACCTAATTTAAGTAGAATGGGAGCTGTTCCTGTGATGATTCCAGCACAAAGCAAAGATGGGTCCATAGTATAAAGTATATAATTTAAATGCTGGTTTTGTAAGTGTTCATTGTAAGTACTAGAGAAAACTACTGTGTTCCATCCCTCATTTAAACAATGGCATGCATCTTTCCTGGAAGAAAACAAAACAAGTTAGTTTGAAAAGCCACCAATTCTCATTTTTAACGTTAAATTTGTTAGCATGTGACAGTTGAACTATCTGCTAAAAGCGTTGACATTCCCAAGTATCTATCGGACACTGAAGGTATCTGGACCTCTGGTAGGTAGCAGATGCTGTCAGGTAACATGTGGTTCTGAGCGTGTAACAAAAGCATTTCATAAGCAGACCATGAAGTTTCTCAGAGTTCCTGAAACTTTATCCTTGATTTTGGAATAACAGAAATATTGGAACTTGGCTGCTGCCCGATGTAGCTGAAGGGGGCTGAAATATTGAGGATGACTTTGAATTCTGTTCAAGCTGAGAATTTATGCAGTTCTTTGGCCTGGTAATGTTTGTTTGGAGCACTTCTTGAGCTCTTATTTCAGGGGCTACCAGTTACTTGATTGGTTCAATTAATTTAGTGGATCTATGCTGAATTTAAAATTTCAGTGAGTAGAAATGTGACAGGAGCCCTTGCAAGCTTTTTGAAACGTGATTTTTTCTGTAATAACTAGTTCTAGTCATGTCAGATAACTTAATACTTAACTGATGCAAGAGGTCCTTCCCAAGTTGTTGGTAATGGTGTCTAAGCTTTAAAATCTATAGGTCAACTCTTACTGTCACAGTAAGAATGATTATGTATCTTTATACAGATCTTAGTTACACCTTGCATTTTCCAAAGCCTGTTTAGATTCTAAGGCAGTGCTCTTACTTTTTTCCAAACCAATTACATAGAAGCTCCATGGGGTTTTATGAAAGCTGTTAAGTAACTAGAAAGTGAAATCTGTCCTCTGGCTCTAACTATTATTGTGGAAACTCCTTTTTCCTGTGTACATGTAAGCAGTAGTTAGCCTCGACTTAAGATGCTAATATCTTTCTTTATGAATTTGCAAGGAGTTTAAAGCTCACTTCTCCTTGCCTCAACAGCCCTAAATATTATGACCAGACATTTAGACTTTTAAGAGCCAGATTTTCAGGCAACCAGAATCCGAGAGAACATTCTTACCCAGAATTGTTGATATAAATCTTGTATTTTAAGATTAAAAAACCTTCTTCCCAGTTTTACAAACATAAAGGTTTACAGGAGGAACAGAATAATTCCTTATCTGGCTTTCACAGATACTTAAGGGCTTCTCATAGCTTCTGATGACCGATACTATATAACCTGTGGAAGCTGGGTTTAAAGTTTAGTGCAGTTTGAATCTTTGTGGATTTTTTTTTCTTCCTTCCTGTTTTTCTAACTTTCTTCTTAATCTTGTGCTGAGGGGCAGGAGCAGGGGAGTCCCTTCAGCTTGTTCTAGTTATAGATGTTGAACTGCAAGATATTTTGAAAAACTCTAAAGGCATATAGTATGTTGCGCTCATGTTGATGACATAAATATCTGAATAGCCTGTTGAAAGATGTTAGGATTATTTGTATGTAGCAACAGTGTGAGAGAAAACATTTCCCAAAACTTTTAGGTTTAGTGTCTGCTTTTTTTTTGTAGCTGCTTATAGATCTATGATAAATTATTTGGCTTACTACTAAATGTTTTTCCTATCTGTAGCTAGGTGCACAATTTTCAGCTGGCACTATTAATGTAAAGTACATACCCGCCATACAAATTTAGAAACTTGAATGGCTATTAAATATTCTAGACTTACAGTTTTACACCTTTGGGACTTTTTAGATTGTAAACTGATACTGATAGAGATGAGACTTTTTTATCTTTCATGTGTGCCTTGTCAATAAACTTTACCTGATTGTAACTTCAGTTTTTATGAAATTTCTGGTGCCTAAACTTACTGTTTGAACAGGTGCTTAGTTGATGGTACAGTTCTTAAAACATGACACTGTGATCTGATTTCTTGATTCTTATGTACTATTTATACCTCTTCATGCCTATTTTTGGATGTGACTTCAGTGTCTTTCTCTGTATTGTTCTGTATTTCAAAATGTCAGTTACTCCTTCAATTACTAATGATGATCTAAGTGTTTATATTCCTGAACCTGTTCAGTTGTTGTACCAATGAGGTGGATGATGGACTTTTACTTACGTGGTAAATAATAGTTAGTAACTGTGCCAAACATGCTTATGAAGAACAGTAGATGAGGAGACAACTTCTTACATCCAATTATTGTGATAGAAGAGACTTCCGAGATTTTAATCACACACTGATTGTTTTCCTTGGAACTAAGGCCTTCCATAATTAAAACCGTATGGTTGTTACAAATACGAGTTGAGTACGAAACTAAACTGCATCACAGACAGAGAGATAGCTATAAATCTAAGCAACCTGGCAACAAACCTACTGAATTGGTTCTTAGCCATCTGTGGACATAAGATGTGGGTTTTGATGTTTTCTTTATTTTTTGTTTTGGTGTTTGGTTTTTTTGTTTGAATTTTTTGGGAGGTGGTGTTTTATTGTTTGGTTGGTTGTTTTGGGGTTTCATTTTGTTTGTTTTTTGGCCTGAGACCCTGTACTTACAGTCAGGTAAGCCCTAGGACACTCAAGAGTAGGAACCCATCTCGCTAAAGCACACAGAGCAGAGTTTACACATGCTGAATGCTCTGTCAGCTCGTACAAAATAACAAATGGACAGAAGAGCACAACGGCGTGATGTGCCCTCAGAGCCTAGCTGTTAGGCTTAGCAGCCTTGACAGTGTCTGTCTATTTATGTAATTGCATGGAAAATAAAAGAAATGGAATCTGACATAGTCCTTATCTGAAATAAAGAACCTCTGACTTGGGGTAAACTTTTGCCTCAAGTTGCTATCGTCATGCCTTTTTGAACGGATACAGCACCACTATGAAACATAATACTGCTATTATAAATTATTTCTTTTGTCAATAGGTCCTTCACTTACACTGGATTATGACTCTCAAAAATAGCTCCTATAACTTAGCAATGATTTCTAGCTGTGTAGGAGATGAACTGGTTATACACAGGCGGTGTCCGATCTTACCAGTAGCTCTGCCAACAACTCTTAAGAAGTAATGGCAGCTGGTAAACCAGTTAGAAGGTGGCATTTCTAATGTCTCATTTCGTTTAGGAAAAAAAAAAAAAAGGAAGGTGTGTGGTACCATTATGTAAATACTCCAAGTGAATTCAAGAAACCTCTAGTTGATGTCATGACTGTAAACTTGCCTGTTGAGGACTACTATATAGAGAAGAAAACCCTCAATTTTAGCATGGTGTGAATAAAGTGTTAGACTTGTAATACTGTTGAGGTTATGTAACACTTGTCCATACATTACAAGCATTTTCCTAAATTTTCTGAAGTGGATATTTAAAGATATTTGTGTGAAACTTCCTTACCTAAAACTGAATACATCTTCCCGAACTGTGTAATGCACAGAAATGCCTTGTGGAGGGGTAAAACATGACTTTTGAAAGAAATGTACACTGCATACATCTTTATCAGCTCTGATAGTCACATTCGTATTAGATGTATGCTTCCTGCTTAATAGTACAAGTAAGAGTTCTTTAATTGCAAGTTGCTCTGTAATGCTGAATATTGTATGCTACTGGTTTCCATGATAAGCTTTTGGTTTTGTTCTTAGCAGTGTATATATATATATATATATATGGATCACTTTAGATCTTTGTTCCAGTCTAAAGACATAATACTATTTGTGTCACTTATACCTTATTTTATACACTTGATAGGTGCTTTATGGGACCCTTTGGTTATCGGTCCTCTAGCATTGAAGCACAGCTCAATTGAAATTGGAGCAATAATATTTCCTGGAATCCAAAATGTTATGATGTTATGTTACACTTCTCATACACAAAGCACGGACTTGATATGAATTTCAGTATGAGGTTTTCTATTCACACTTTTGGGGGAATGGTATTTTAAAATACGAGTATTGTGAGTGAATTTGTAAAAACAAAATCCAAAATTTTAAAATGTAGTTCCATGACAGACTTGTGTACTTTTTGAAATAAAACTGTTGGAGAAAACAGTAGTCTGTCTTTATTTTAAAGCAGCACTTCTGTATGGCTTTAGCTTTCTCTTTATGTAACTGGAAGTGAATGAATAAATATGGCTGTGTATATACTGTGCTGGCATTAATAATGTCATTTATTGCTTTTTCCCCCCCTTAATTTCTAAGGCAAGTAAAACTATAGGTATTTTAAAACAGGAACTTATTTGTGATTTCTAATTGTAGATACACAGATGTAGAGATCAATTTTAAAAACGTAACGGAGCAATCTCAGCAGTTCCTCTGAAACATAACAGCTGGAAAGGAGCTTTAGATTAAATTTCATCCCTCTTTATTTTAGATAGAAACAAAAATTCCTGAAACTGATAGATCGTCTTTTAAAATTAAAACAAGCAAGCCTACAGCACTCAAAGCATGTTGATAAAATGCTTCATTTTAGACTGCCAGTTAATGTGCATCTTTTTTGTTTCAAATGAAGTTGACTTGGGATACTCCCCACTCCTTGGCCTTGAAAGCAACAGGTTACTGTCCTTGTAATTTTATCTAAGAGTGATGCCATTTCCCCAGTGTTGTCTTGGGCATATACTTAGGTTTAGGAGACAGAAGTCTGGCACGGGCTCTGTTTGTATTAGTGGCATGTTTTATGTTTGTTTCATTGGAGGCCTGATTAGCTTATGTTTGTTCATATATGCATATCTTCATATGTTCATGTATGCCTGTGCCACGCCAGATGGTTCAGTCACTTCTTAATGTATACATAAACCCTGTCTGATAGGTGTGTGCACAAGCGTATGGAGTCGAGTGCAGTAACGGCAGAAAAACCTTGTTGTTTTTAAATTTCAAATTAAGATTTGTGCTCAAATACAAAAGGAAACCTGATAAAAATGAAGGTTTGGATTTCTCTCTATTTGTAGAGCTCTAAGAGACTTTGCTAAACCCTACACTCTTTTAATATTAACTAACTTAAGACTTCTCAAACTCAAGACTTCCATCCTTTTGTAAGGTGGCAATTTTATTACAGATGGCACTTGCACGCCTCAGCTGCCCCAGGTCTTGTGCTTGCAGATGAGATGATTGTGAATGAGAGAAGCTGAGTACCTCCAGCTTGTCTGTGGGAATTCCAGTAAAGCAGCTAGCCCTTTCCCAAGAGTATCCTG